TTTCAGCTTTAAAAAATAGAATTAAAAAATAAAAGTAATTCCACCTAATTAAAAAATAAATCCAAATAGGAAAACATCTACAATTTCTAACATTATAAAATTTTTTTGCCTAATTGTTTTCCAACCAAACACTAAACATGCATTTATAAATACATTTCCTACATTTCAGCTTTAAAAAATAGAATTAAAAAATAAAAGTAATTCCACCTAATTAAAAAATAAATCCAAATAGGAAAACATCTACAATTTCTAACATTATAAAATTTTTTTGCCTAATTGTTTTCCAACCAAACACTAAACATGCATTTATAAATACATTTCCTACAAAATAATTGTAGATATCCAAACATTAAATTGAAAGTTGATTTCCAGCAATAATGTTGTAACAGTTCTTACATTTTTTTGCGGCAAACCAAGTAGCCATGGTCTAAATGGCAACATGCAAAAGACAGTTTGATTGTTTATTTTGCTAAAATAGTAAGGGAAAATTGTGTCAATGCCCCAAAAGTAATAACCTCATGTGACCTAACCCCTCTAATTTTTCTCTATGTGTTGCAGCCCCTAAATTACAGATCTATATGATTCAGCCCTTTTTTCATGTAATTCTCATGCCAATTGTTGGTGGTTTAAATCACACAATTAAAAGAGAAGGTAGATAGGGATTAGGTTGATATGGGGGCCGCTCACTTTTTCGAATATCCGATTTGGAGTTAGGTTGTTCGTCCTTGCACGTGTAACAACTCGTAAGAGGACGAGAACTGGTTCCCCCCTTGTTCCTCTGACGATCAAGTCAGCTGGGTGATTGAATGAGAATATAAAAAAAATGCAGCGAAATAGAGAAAAATACTGATAATTTGCTTACCCTTGTACTTGGATTAGTTTTCCTATTTATAACCAAGCAAGAGGGATAATCTAGTCTTTTTGGGCGAGCTTGAGTTGGCGGCTGAGGCAGCATCTACTTTACAGGTGTCGGTCGTGGATCGGCTGCATGATTTATCAGGGATGGAGAAATGATTGTACCTACCAAGCATTTAATGTGACACCGGCGTGCTGTCAGCGGGGGGGGGAGGGGTTCGAGGTTGAAGTTGCCTTTTGGCTTGTAGCGAGGGATGTTGAGAAGTAACGCTGTTATGGTGTTTACTCACCCAAGATACATGTATTTGCAAAATAATACAATAAGAGTCCTGGCAAAATGACCTCAACCCACTTAAGTGGCCCAAGCCACAGAGGCCTCGACCCCGCCGACATATCCAGTCGATATTCTTTCATGCCGACATGAAAGGCGGGATCAGTCGACCCTATTGTTGAGGATGACCCCCCTTAGGACACTCGACCATTCACTTGGCAACTCACGGAGATGACTTGAAGGACATTCCTTGCTGTCAGCTAACTTGAGGACTCGACTATTGCCTCAAGCCTCCCCCCAGAGCATATGTCAGCATTTCAGTCCACCTCGGACAATCCTTATCCAGATTTTGGCTTGATAGTCTCCAAGACTTGTCAGCTGCCTACGTGCCTTCTGCCACGCCCTCAATCACTTCCCAAAAAATGCGAAGAAATCCTCCCCCTTGCCGAAGTGACTTCCCCTCCAGTTGCCAGCCGACACCTGTAAAGCGAGTGATGACTCAGTATGCCAGTGTGTCTTCTGCCATACTCTTAATCACTTCCCGAAAAATATAGAGACACCATTTCCCGTGCCGAAGTGACTTCCCCTCCAGTCGTCAGCTGACACCTGTAAATCGAGGGATGACTCAACATACCCAGCGTGCCTTCTGCCATGCTCTCAATCACTTCCCGAAAAATACGGAGACACCCTCTCCCGTGCCGAAGTAAATTTTCCTCCAGTCGCCAGCCGACACCTGTAAAGCGAGGGATGACTCGGCTCTTAGCCCACACTTCATCACCGTCTCCCTATGCAGAGCTAGTGGTGACTACTGATCCCTACGTCGAAGATAAATACAGGAGTTCGAACCTCTAGGAAGAGGGGGAGGACCCCCTAAGAAAAAAGCTCAAGCTAAGGCTTCCCCTCTCTCTCTCTAAAAAGAAAAAGAACTCACAATTCTTCGTCTAGACAGGGGAGCTCACACAGATCCTCTGGACATGCACATTATCACTTCAAGAACCACATTAGTTCATGACCTTCCCCTTCCCCACTCGAGTTTCACTAACTTGACCGTCGGAGGAACCACGGGGGAACCGATCCCCGTCCTCTCACTGGTTCTTCTTGTCTTTGCAGCTAAGACATCAAGCCCCCATTCGAGAACCTGTCATAAAGTCGAAGAAGGGAGTGACCCCTCCATCACTCTCCCTTACCCCGTTCCAGTGAGGACCCAGGGGGACCGATCCAATTCTGGATCAGAAACGATCCCAGCCCTGATCCAATTTATTGTTTGGTCATAGTCATCAACAAGCGCCTTTCGAGTTGACCCCAGGAGGTGTTGAATAACTGGTCGAGTGGGCTCGTAGCGAGCCGTCTTCGACAAGAGGACCGATAAATACAGCCCTTCGAGTCGACCTAAGGAGGTGTCGACTCGTGAGTTGGCTAAGTCAAGATCTTGGTGGTCCTAACTCTCAATTCGATTTGAGTGATGCATGTAGGGGGGGCATCTGTACGTTGCTAGAAAATGGCTACATTTTGGCGACTGAAATCACCATAACACCAAATAAGTACAAAGAGAGAGAAATAAATATAAAAACCTAAAATGCCCTCTTCCTCCTCTCTCTTCATTCTCTCCAGATCTAAATCTAGTCCTCCTTCCTCCTCTCTCCTAAGCCATTTACTTCCTCCTCTCTCTCTTCCTCCTTTTTTCTGTCAGATGCGGACATCCCCCTTCGCCGCAGCCGACCTTGCGTGCACACTTCGGCCATATTGTTTGCTTCTTTTCTCCCACTAAGTTTTACTAATCTCTCTTTCTAAATCTAGTCCAGCTTGGTTCGTGTTAAGTTTAGTTTAATCATTTTAAGTCTAATGTAAATCATTTTAAGTCTTATTTGAATCATGTTAACTCTAATTCAACTTGTTTCCCGACTTAAAACAAGTTAAATTAGACTTAACATGATTTAAATTAGACTTAAAATGAATTTAACATGATTGAAATTAGAATTAAAATGAATTAAATTAGACTTAACATGAATCAAATTGGACTTAACATGAATCAAATTAGACCTGATATGAAATTAGACTTAAAATAAGTTGAAATAGACTTAACATGCATGACTCCGACCATTCCAGCCATGTTGTTTGCTCTTTTTCTCCCACTAATTTTCACCGCTCTCTCTTTCTTTTCTCCCTAAAACTAAAAAACCCCCTCAAATTCATCAGAATTCTAGTCAAAGGATCCGTCAAGTCTAGTTTGCTTCGTATTAAGTCCAGTTTAGTTCATGTTAAGTCCAGTTTAAATCATTTTAAGTCTAATTTAAATCATGTTAAGTCAAACAATAGTTCATGTTAAGTCTAATTTATTTCCTATTAAGTCTAGTTTAATTTATTTTAAGTCTAATTTTATTTTAAATCTAACTTGATTCATGTTAAGTCTAATTTTAGTTCCTATTAAGTCTAATTTTAGTTCATGTTAAGTCTAATTTCAATTCATGTTAAGTCTAATTTTAGTTTATGTTAAGAGTAATTTATTT